CGCGCACGCGCACGCGCCTTCTTCTCGATCAAGCTGCATGCAGCTAGGCAGCCAGCATCTGCACGCTGCCAGATTGACCGGCGGAGCCTCAAATTAGTCCGGAGCAAAGGCGTGAAGGTCAGAGTTGGACTCGGCGGAATTCACAGCAGGAGATTCAGAAGATTCTCGAATAATTTCAGAACGCACATGATCGAGCCTCCACCCATGCAGCCAAGAGGCTTCATTTTGGCACGGCGACGCTGGGCTGACGTCAATGGCTCGGCTGTGCTGCAACATGGATGGCCTAACTCGATCACGCCTATACGTACTCAGACTCACAACTCACGACTCACGACTCACGACTCACGACTTGCGCGTCTAGACCTTTTGATCGCTCGTGACTCCACACTCACCAGATTCGTACTTCGTGCCACTGACCGAGTCAGAATCGCGGATGCTGCATGTGCAAAGCTATATAAACGTCCGCTCCCATCTCTCCCAGCCACTCACTCGACAATCACATCACACAGACACCATTCGCAACATCTAACATCCAAGCAGTTCGCATGCACAATGGCGCAAAACTCAGGTTCGCAAACTAGTCAGGGCCTCGGCGATGGCGTCAAGGGGTGAGTCTAGAAGACATTCGATGCATCTGTGCGCATCTCCTAAGCAAATCAGCTGACGCATCCAACATTACGTTGCGCGCCTTGTCCTCGTGCAGCATCTTCAACTCCATCCACGGAGCAGGAGAGGCAGTTCGAGGAGCCATCAACGATGGAGCTGACAAAATTGGCGAGGGCATCGCTCAAGGAGGTAGCAGCAACGCGGATAATGCTGAGAGGCAAGCCAAGTTGAACCAGCAGGGACACAGCCAGAACGAAAATGTGGCTCAGAAGGGTCTGGATGGTGAGTCCCATTGCAGATGACGGCCATGTAGCTGAAAGCTGCTACAAGTTCATGCTGATCACTCGTGGGCGGATCTCTTCGACGCTCGTGTAGAGATCAATCAGGGCATTGATCAAGTGCGCAACGCGGGCAACAAGTAGCATGGATCCTCACGCACAAAGCATCGTCACAGCAACGCACGCAATGTCACAACGTTGGTTGAATCAGACATTTGTTTGGTGTGGTGTGAATCGAATGCCGGCATTCTCAGCGAGCTCCTGGCTGCCCAGCGCCAGGTGATGACAAAAGGATCGGTACATGCAACACATCCACATCGAGGTACGAATGGCCGTTCAGGACGACGCGGAACGAAAGGTAGCCTAAGGGAGAGGCTGACTGACTTACATTCGAAAAGCGAAGTGAAAGAAGTCGATGGGCGCATGCCTAGCACGTGGTCCTCGCCTTGAACTCGAACTTGGCTTTTCCATCGTATCCCACGACGCCCCAGCCAGGCAGCCCATCATCCGACCAGATGTGCGCGAACCATCCGACCCCACCCTTTGGGCCCTGCTTGAAATCTTCACACTTATCGTCGAGCAGGTCAAAGTAAGCTTTGGACTGGGCCACGTTGGCTTGAGCAGCTGCAGAGTTGGCTTTCCACACATCTGCATTGCTAGGCCAGCCCGTTTGGGTGATGATGATCTTCTTGTCTGCCCCTTGCTTTTTGAGGTAGTTCAGATCGCTGGTGACGTGTGAAAATGCTTTGCGAGCCGTGCTGGCGTCTTGGGCAAAGAAGGGCAACGAGTTCGCAAGAAGAGTCGAGACCGAAGAGAACACTTTTGGAGCGTTACCGTGGATCTGATAGCCGTAAGGCATCTCTGATGTCGAGACCTGCATAGCTGTCGGCTGGCCCGTGATATATTGGCTGAGCTTTTGCTTCACGTCGTTGATCTGATCTGCCAATCCGTCTGCCGAGATGGCCCAATCGAAAAGTGGCTCTGAGCCAAATTGCACCGTGCGGACCACAAAGGGCGCTTTGGGATTGCTCTTGATGGTTTGCAAGAGTGCCTTTTTGCGTGGTCGATACGACTCGTCTCCATCAAAGCCGAACCAGATCAAGGGCAGGAGACCAACGCCAGCCTCCCAGGCTGCGTTGATCAGATCGTCGTTGTAACCTTGCTTGTCGCAATTGGAGTACAGCCGCACGTATCTCGCTTGATACGTGTTCCGTTGACGCTTAAAGTCTTTGACAAGCTGATCGTAGCTGGGACAAGAGGCGATGGAATACGAGAAGCCCATCTGCAATCGGAAGACAATGTTGGCTTGTGCTAGGCGGAAATCGAACGCGCTCCAGACGACTCACGAAGGCATACTCGTCTTTGGCATTGCACCACCAATTATCCAACGAACTGGGAACGTTGTCAGGCATGTCGAAATTCAAAGCTGGGAAACAGCTTTGCCTAGGCCCGTCAGGGGAAGAGGGGGTGTCCAATCCAATAGAGGAAGAACTTGCATCCGTCCTTGTGGAAGAGCTCACAGAGCTCAAAGCGGAGGTCTTGATTTGGGACGTCGCTGTTATGACATCGCTCCTGGTCCTTGGGTTGCATCGTTTTCTGTTCGAGGAGCGCCGATGCTTCTTGCCGGATCTGACACGGTCGTGCGGATGATGGGAGATGGTCATGTGGGCGACCTGCTGCGAACGCAGAAGCTGGAGGTCGCGTGCGATTTCATATGCAGCTTCATGGCGCTCTGGAGATCTTGCAGCTTGCTGAACCGCTAGCCCACTCAGTGGGGAAGCATGGACAGACACGCTAGCCAGTAGCAGCGCACTCAGTGCAGCTAACAAAAAGCTTGATTTGTGCATGGTAGCTCAAGATGTCGAGTCCTTTGAACAGGACCCCCGCCGATGGGATGGAGGTGAAGAAAAGGTTGGATGTAGAGACGCAGTCCCAGTCCGACTGAGGAGATAGCACAAGCGAAAGTCAGCTTGCAGCCTTTTCGCTGAGCTTGACGCCAGGTCGTGCAGCAGTTGAGGCCAGCCAAAGAAGCTACCAGAGGGGAGGGGGTCATATGAAGAGGGTCGATGAAGCTCGGAAGTGGAACCGCAACGGCGGGCGGGACGAGGGAAGCGTCAAATAGCTCACACGGCCTTGCCGCGAGGGTGCCGCCTTCGTAGGCTCCTGGCCTCTGTTGAAGCTTATGAGAACAGACAAGCAAACAAGTCGGGGCCATCGCTCTCCCCTCTCTCCCCTCTCGTGTTTGTTTGTAGCCCAAGTAGCCGTTGCAGCCCCGACGGACCGTCGCGGGCATGCCAGACCCGTTGTCCACGACGCGCAACCGACCGAGCGCGCCAGCTTTCCCACGACATCTCTTGGCACTTCCTCAAGGGGTCCCTATTGCAGCATGCCCCCGAGTTCCGGCCCTGCCACGCCTCAGGAAGCGCTGAAGCTCGCTCCCTTGGCGATTGCAACCCACGACGGAACCGACGTATTTCGGACATTTGGAAAGTGGGCCAAGCATGCATAATAGAGGAAATCTGACGCCCTTTCCTTGGCACGATGCGCATATCCTGCTTTGCCTGCACCACGACTATTCGAAACTTACTTGATATCAATCCCAGCTTGGGTGTTAAACGAATGTAAAAGTCAGACCAGCTGAGGGTATGTGAATGGTGATGGAGGGAGGTGGACTACCAATGACGGCTCAGCAAAGCCATCCTAAGCTACTTATCCTTTCACCGACCATTCCCCTCTCGAGAGCAGCGTTTTGCTGCGCATGGCCTGGGCTCTGGTATAGGCGAACACGACGAATCGAGAATCACGAATGAGTTCCTGCAGCTCGATGGCGACGCCATGGTGCAATTGAACGAGTCACGTCGGTTGGAGTCCTGACATGTGCGAGCGGATC